AAGCAATAAAACAGCTATTTCCCTGCATTTTGTTCAAGGCTACAGAAATAGGCTTCAGGGTATTCAGCATGTGTTCAACATTTCTCTTAAGCCCAATGTTGAGAACTTTGGCTGTGACAGTGCCATCTATTTTTTCACAGTTTTGTTCACAAACTGTCATCACATTAGGCCAGTTCTTGATATAGTGGGGGCAGAGTGTAGTTCTGCCCCCAACAATCTTCTATTTATTGAACTTTTTGAAACTTTGCACTTTTAGAGAGGTAAGGGATTGACTCTAGTACACAAATTTGCAGAGGGACAATACAGTTGAGGTCTTTTATTTCTCACCTCTATATATTATTTATTTATTTTAAAACATTTTTGCTGTTAACAAGCATGTTATCTCTGGAGACACAAATCCACAGTTTGAGAACTGCAAAACTAAGCATCTGATGGTATCTTCTAGACTGAGCACTGAGTCCCAATGGGTAGATAGAAACATTAACCTAAATAATCTATACAGAAGCTCCTGGAACCCTGTAAGATTGGGTCCCTAATCCATGAACTATTGGAACTCATTTACAAAACTTTTCTTAAACATTACATGAATATATTGTCTCATACTATAAAATTAGTATTTATAATTCCTATTCCATGATGGGATATCTTTGAGCCATAATGTATCTTAATTAAAACTATCTTTAGGTAGGTTTTTTTCCTCCAAAAGCATTTTATAAAAAAAAATCTGATTTAAATAAAAAAATCTGATTTATTTATTTATTTATTTTAAAAATCATTGATTTTTATCCACCCTGCTGCTTTTCAACTGCCCTTATAACCTGCAACCCAGCCACCTCTATCAGAAAGTACGGATCTGCTCTTCAGTATTGTGCATTAAGATCACAAGGCTATAAGAGAAGCCTAACAAGGGGCTATTCGGCTGGGGGGATGCCTTGAAGGAGCATATTAACATTGAACCACAGTGATGTGTGTTGCTGTAGTGTGCTGAGCCTGGCCTTGTTTGTTTGTACTGTGCTTTGAACCCTGTAATGATTACTGTGTGTGCATGAAAAGTAACACATTTAAAATCACTTTTTAAAGTGGCACTCTGTATTATAACCAAACTGATATTGCTGAACACTTACAAAAGAAACCCACAGAAGCAACCAATCCTGAGGCAAACACTGGTGCATGGACAGCTGGTGTCTCCCCACCCCAGCTCAGCAGAGATTGGTACACCAGCAGGGGGAAGGGGATACTCCGACATCAGCCCCCACCTCCCTTCCCTGTACAACAGTCTCTTCCCTTCTTGCCCCTTCCCTCCCCCCCCCAGCAGCAGCCTGCCTGCTGCTACAGTCCCAGTGCCAGGGCAAGCAGGATTCCAAGTTAATGTTTTGATTCTGTGATTTCCTAAAAGTTCTCCCACAGCCTTCTCTCCCCACAGACCTAGGAGATCCACCTCTTCCCCAGTAGTCCAGGCAGGAGTGTGTTTGCTGCTGGAGCTGGCATGCTAAGCAGGGCAGTAGCTATGTGAGCTCTCCACACTGAGCTGTTTCAAAACTTCCTGGGCTTAGAAAGGGGAGGGGCACATGCCTGTGTAGTTGGATACAGGGCTCTGGAGTTTAAAACAGTGATCAGAGCAGTCATGGAGGGCATCGGGGATACCTCCTGGTAGGCCAGTTACAGCAACGTAATGAATACAGTGTATATACTCAAAAAGAACAGGAGTACTTGTGGCACCTTAGCGACTAACAAATTTATTAGAGCATAAGTTTTCGTGGGCTACAACCCACTTCTTCTTCCTGTTCTTTTTGAGGATACAGACTAACACGTCCGCTACCCTGAAACCTGTCAGTGTATATACTGATGCTCTGTCGATCTAACTTTGCCACAATAAGCTCTACGCTTCTCATTGAGGTGGTTTTTATTTTGTTGACACAGCAGGAGAGTTTGCTGGCAGGAGGAGCATTGTCATGCCTGCACCTCCACTGTTTTTTGTCAGCAAAAGGCGGCTTTTGTTGACAAAACTGTGTAGCATAGACAAGGCCTAACGCTGGACGAGATGTGATAGTCCTGAGAAAGGAAGGCATGCTTAGACTTATGTGCCTTCATGTTTCACAAGTACTGCATAAGAGTATTATCAGCCTGTTGCCCAAATTAACTGTATTACCAGGTTTGAATACATAGGGTGCTTGGCATAGTCTGTACCTATCTTATAACAAATCCATATGGGTCTGACTGCAGTGTGTGGCACTAACTCAGGGTCATGTGAGTAAACAAAATAGGACCCAGTTCAGCAAGGTACTTAAACATATACCTCACTTTAAACACATGAATATTCCCATTAACTTCAATGGAATGTGATGCTGTTGCAAAAAAAGCAAACGTGATTCTGGGATGCATTAACGGGTGTGTTGTGAGCAAGACACGAGAAGTCATTCTTCTGCTCTACTCTGCGCTGGTTAGATCTCAACTGGAGTATTGTGTCCAGTTCTGGGCACCGCATTTCAAGAAAGATGTGGAGAAATTGGAGAGGGTCCAGAGAGGAGCAACAAGAATGATTAAAGGTCTTGAGAACATGACCTATGAAGGAAGGCTGAAAGAATTGGGTTTGTTTAGTTTGGAAAAGAGAAGACTGAGAGGGGACATGATAGCAGTTTTCAGGTATCTAAAAGGGTGCCATA